GAGTAGCTGGGACTACAGGCACGCGCCACCATGCCCAGCTAATTTTTTGTAGTTTTAGTAGAGACGGGGTTTCACCATGTTGACCAGGATGGTCTCGATCTCTTGACCTCGTGATCCACCCGCCTCGGCCTCCCAAAGTGCTGGGACTACAGGCTTGAGCCACCGTGCCCGGCCCAACTTTATATTTTTTAGAACAGTTTTAGGTTCACGGCAACAATGGGTAGAAGATACAGAGATTTCCCTTATACCCCCTTGACCCCCGACACATACAGCCTCCCCCATTATCAATGGCCCCCACCAGAGTGGTACCTATGTTGCAATTGATGAACCTACATTGACACATCATCATCAGCCAGAGTCCACAGTTTACATTAGGGTTTACTCTCAGTGTTGTACATTCTGTGAGTTTGGACAAATATATGATTATGTGTGTCCAGCATCATAGTATCATACAGAGTATTTTCTCTTTTTTGTTGTTTTGTTTTTCTTGAGACAGGGTCTCACTGTATTTCTCAGGCTGGAGTGGAGTGGTGCAGTCATGGCTCCCTCCCACCTTTGCCTCCCGGGATTAGGTGGTCCTCCCAGCTCAGCCTCCCACGTAGCTGGGACCACAGGCGTACATCAACATGCCCCACTAATTTTTCTGTTTTTTGTAGAGACGGGGGTCTCACTATGTTTCCCAAGCTGGCCTCGTACTCCTAAGCTCAAGCAATGCTCCCACCTCGGCCTCCTAAAGTGATGGGATTACAAGCAAGTGAGTGTGCCCAGCCCAGAGTATTTTCACTGCCCTAAATATCCGCTGTGGTTCAGTTCTTCATCCCTCCCTCCCTCCCTAGCCCCTGGCAGTCAATGATCTTCTTACTGTCTCCATAGTTTTGCCTTTTCCAGAAAGTCACATGCATTAGTTGGAATCATACAGCATGCAGCCTCTTCAGATTGGCTTCCTACACTTAGTAGTATGCATTTAAGTTTCCTGCAGGTTGGCTGGGTGCCATAGCTCACGCCTGTAATCCCAGCACTTTGGGAACCTAAGGTGGGCAGATCACAAGATCAGGAGTTCGAGACCAGCCTGGCCAATATGGAGAAACCCTCCCCATCTCTCCTAAAAATACAAAAATTAGGCTGGGCGCAGTGGCTCATGTCTGTAATCCCAGCACTTTGGGAGGCCGGGGTGGGTGGACCACCTGAGGTGGGGAGTTCGAGACCAGCCTGACCAACAAGAATAAACCTCATCTCTGCTAAAAGTACAAAATTAGGTGGGTGTGGTGGTACATGTCTGTAATCCCAGCTACTTGGGAGGCTGAGGTTGTGGTGAGTCAAGATTGAGCCATTGTACTCCAGTCCGGGCAACAAGAGTGAAACTCCGTCTCAAAAAATATATATATATATACAAAAATTAGCCAGGCATGGTGGCGAGTGACTGTAGTCCCAGCTACTCGGGAGGCTGAGGCGGGAGAATTGCTTGAACCCAGGAAATAGAAGATGCAGTAAGCCAAGATCGCGCCACTGCACTCCAGCCTGGGCGATAGAGCAAGATTCCATCTCAAAAAAAAAAAAAAGCTTCCTTCAGGTCTTTTCATGGCTCAAGAGCTCATTACTACTTAGCGCTGGTCCACTGTCTGGCTGTACCACAGTTTATTTATCTGTTCACCTGCTGAAGGGCATCTTGGTTGCTCCTAAGCTTTGGCAATTATGAATAAAGCTACCATAAACATCCATGTGCAGAGTTTTGTGTAGGCATAAGTTTTCAACTCGAGTAAATACCAAGGAGTGTAACAAAACTTTTTATATGAGGTTTTGTGCTTACAATGGCCACAATTTCTGTCCTGGACTTAGGCTGAACTGCTGAACACTTCAAATGCTTTTTTTTTTTTTTTTTGAGACTGAGTCTCGCTGTGTTGCCCAGGCTGGAGTGCAATGGCGCAATCTCAGTTCACTGCAGCCAGTCTCCCAGGTTCAAGCAATTCTCCTGCCTCAACCTTCCAAGTGGCTGGGGCTATAGTGCGCACCACCATGCCTGGCTAATTTTTGTATTTTTAGTAGAGATGGGGTTTCACCATGTTGGCCAGGCTGGTCTTGACTAATGACCTCAGGAGATCCACCTGCCTCAGCCTCCCAAAGTGCTGAGATTACAGGCGTGAGCTACCATTCCCGGTCAACTTCAAATGCTTGATAGCTACCATCAAGGAGAAGTTGTTAGCACAGGTTAAGGTTTAACACTTTTTATCATCCATTTACAATTTTGCAACAGTTGAAATTAAAGAATCGGGTAGCCAGGCATGGTGGCATGTGCCTGTAATCCCAGCTACTTGAGAAACTGAGGCAGGAGAATCACTTGAACCCAGGGGGCAGAGGCTGCAGTGAGCTGAGATTGCACTTACAAAAGAAAGAGGTTTAACTGGACTTACAGTTCCACATGGCTAGGGAGGCCTCACAATCATTACGGAAGGCGAAAGGAAGCAAGTCACATCTTACATGGATGGTGGCAGGCAAAGAGAGGTGCACTTGTGCAGGGAAACTCCCCTTTTTATAACCATAAGATCTTGCGAGACTTATTCACTATCACAAGAACAGCTGGGAAAGACCTGCCCCCATGATTCAGTTACCTCCCATGTGGGAATTCAAGCTGATATTTGGGTTGGGACACAGTCAAACCATATCACTATGTTGCCCAGGCTGGTCTCGAACTTCTGGCCT